TCTTTCTTTCTTTCTTTCTTTCTTTCTTTCTTTCTTTCTTTCTTTCTCTGTCTGTCGCTCTTCTTCCCTGTCTCTAAATTTACAAAACTTCTAAAAACAGAAGGAGGGACTTGAGAGGCATAGTAACTGAAGGAGGGAAGCAGGTGACCTAATTCCATTAACTCTTGGTTTTGGCTCACCCAACATCAGTTCCAAAGCCTCACTCTACCAAAATGAAGCTCCTAGAGCATTATCCATTGATTGGTTTATCCAGGCTATTTCTTATTAGTTTTACAGGGACCGACTTATCTCTGAGGGTTTAATTGGGCAAAGTTTTGAGACTATTCAGGTGTTTTTCCAGACTTATCTGCTTTTCTTGGATCTCAGAAATTGGCTTTTCATATAAAACCCTAACCCTCCATATTGGTTGCATGTATGATAAGCCATGCCATTGAGAATGAGAGGATGGTGCATATGATAAATGAAAATTGAGTTTCAGAAGTGCCATCCCTGACACGCCGTGCAGATACATAAGCTACCACATAAGAGAAAAGTTGTGAAGGTGGAGGTTGGTTCTTGATTTCACTTTAAATGTACTTGGATTTTTCAAAGTTATTTAAATTCTTGATCTGCATTAATCTGACACTGCAAATGGAATCAATGTCTCAAATCAGATTGGAGCTATAGTAACGTGCACATCCTTACTGCAAAATCTCTTTTCATTTTGCGTTTCAAATAGGTATGTCCTTAGATAAACTATTAACTCCCCCATTCCAACCCCATTAGCAATGTCCAAATTGTCCACAGTGGAAGATTATAAGAAATCATTGGATATACAGTACTTGTCAACTACAACATAAAATCAATAACTGGTGGAAACTTTTTACTCCTGACGCTTGAAACACCTATCAAGATTTCTTGTAGTTTGTGAGATTTTAATGAACAGTGACGACCAGGTCCTCCAATACATTTATGAGGGCTAGAAACTTTAGAACAAGGAATTCTTGTTTTGCTTGGGAATATAAGAGCTCCCGGCCCATGAGACCTACTACACAAAGGACTGTTTGTGTTTTCTCTCAGCACATACCCACCTCCTCCAAAATATATAGAATTCTTAAATACAGCTCCGTCTTTCTCCCTTGTTTCTCCATTGATATACATATGGGCTTGGGGAGAAAAGAAAGAAAGAATTGCAGTTTTGCCGAGCACCATCTATATAATCTACTTTATTAACGGGGTCTCACAAGACAATTATTTTTGGCGCAGCCTCTGCGGAGGCAACCTCTTCGAATCAAGCTCATTTATTCTGTGTTTCACTGTCCTGCCATTTCCTGCAGGGAGACAGGAAAAGTGAAACCACATGTTTGGAGGAGCAATATAGGAAATCCCACCGAAGACAAACGGCTGCTCCTTTCCCCTGGCAATTAGTCAAACCTGGGCTGTGTGCCAGCCCAGGTGTTTCTGACTGTGTATAAATTTGCCCAGAAACAATGAAAATAGCAGTTGATTGTACTGACAGACTCTTGGACTGATTTCCGGGAGTTTGGCATTGTTTGGTGACTTCCTCACAAATAGCCATTCCGGACTCACTCCGAGACCTTGAAATCAAGCTGCTTGACCTGGAAGTCAAGGCACTGTATGTACGCGCCAGTGTGTGGGTGTGCATTTAAATGTGTGTGTGTGTGTCTCTCCTGTCCACTTCTGCAACGTGCTTCCATCCCCAAAGCCCAGAATCCCAGATGTTCAAACTGCAAAATTCATATTTTAATGAGCCAGAATTGGAAAACTATTTGCACCTGCATCAGCTAAAGTTTCTTGGCAATGCATTGAACAAGATTATTATTGTTGTTTGCCAGAATGCACGCTCATACATACTTGGTCTGCAAACCCTGGAACTTGGAGACTTTTCCTCACAGATCTTCTTCCCCTGTCTTTGGAACTGAATCTGGCCAACTGGCTGCTTGTACAGAGCATCTGGAGTTTCTCTCTCTCCCTCTCTCTCCCCCCCCCCCCCCCGCCTTCTTTTTTTCTCCTGTGCTTCCAAACCCATCCCTGTGTAAAATGTCAGACAGGCTAAAAAACTCCAAATGCTTTTAAGTACAGGACACAAAAGAAATAGGTTCAATGTTCAAGTTAATGCAAATTTACAACATTTCATACCACATTTGTAGTAGTGCTCAAACAGCTGCTTTTAAAATGTAGACTTTTCCAAATATTTTGAAGAATTTTTAAGGCCAAAAAAAAGGTGCTTTTTTTTTTTAAGAGGCAGCTGGACTTTCTGGTTTTTCTTTGAAGACATTTCGCTTCTCATCCAAGAAGCATCTTCAAAGAAAAACCAGAAAGGCACATAAACAAATACCAAACAGAAATCCAGTTCCCCAATGCAGACAGGTTAATAAAAACAATTAAAGCACATATAATGGATATGGATGAATACAGAAAGTCAACTGGACAAACATCTGCAGTTTTAATGGGTGGTTGATAAAGCCAGAGGGGAAGTATCTAAGGGGAAGTATTAAAATGTGCATAATCCTAAAAATAATTTACAAATTTGTGAGAGAATCGAAAGAATATGCTGAAAAAAGTGATATACTGTATATTATGAACTGAATAGACATGTCCATCAATTTTTTCACAAACTGTAAAAGAAATATTCTCTGATGGGAGGGGGAGGAGGAGAGGAAGCAAAATTTAAAAATCTGGATAAAAAAGAGAAATTTGATGCTGACCAATTCATCTTTCAGTACTGGCAAAACTCTCACTGGCAAACATACAGCAAACTCAGGTTTTCTCAAAGGTTTTCTGATTTATTCTTTTAAATTCCTAACAGTCAATAAGGAGATTTGAAGCAGATTTTCCCTTGCTAATTTCTAATCTGTTGGTTGTTGTTTTTTCTTCATTTTGATAGCATAATACCTCCTTCCTCAGAAATAACATTCAAATTCAGTTAACCCTAACAAACACAACAATGCATGCTATGTATTTAATATGCAACTTGACCTGTCCCTTGATCCTCAATATAATATATATTATTAATTGGCTAAGATCTTCTTACTTGAAAGCATAGACATCATAGATGTCCATAACAGAGCAGTCCATGACTGGTGTGTTACTATGTCAAGCACCAGGGAAATCATAAGATCCAGGCAGTTCAGTTGGGTATAAAGATTTATTGCAAGTTTAAGCTCTCTACAAGATTCTGAACTACTAATGGTCCAAGCAAATTAGCTGTAGGTAAAAGTCAAAGGAGTTCAAAGTGGGCTGGACTTAGATTTGTGGCATGAAGAGACTCATGACTGATGACGTGTTTGACTCTTCCCTCGGGCTCAGCCTGGTCATCTCCTACATCACCATGAAAATAACAAGACTCATATAGTTACATCAGACATCAGAAGAGCAAGGACTACCCCCTCCTGATCCGAAAGCAAGGAGGGAAGAGAGACAGCGAGATCAATGCAGATTGAGCCAGCTACGAGGGAGGAGAGTGCCCTGCCCCCTTTCACAAGGCACACCTGGGGACTGAGATGTAAGGAGGTTCCAGCCCTGGTTTCTGTTTGGTTAATCTGGCTTACTGGACTGTTGGCCTTGGCTGCTGTGTGGCTAACCTTGCTTACTGGACTACTTGTAGCCAAAGACTTCTGAAGATGTGTGAGAGAGCTTTGCTCCGGGACTTGTAGTGAACATAAGAATGTTTGGGGGCACAGTTGGAGCAATAAAGGGGAGTTAGATCTGTTCTCTGGTTGTGTTGCTTTCATGTCATGCCCCGGGTCACCACATTGACACTTAAAGAAAGCCATTTCCAAGTCACAAAGGCAACACCTTCAAGTCAAACTTGATTCCGGGTGATTACATTCATCTTCCAGTCATGGAATTTCCATTAGATCCTCCATCTGAATACTAGCTGGTCCTGATCTAAGACTTGCCATGGTTAGATAGATGTGCCCACCTGGTGAATAGTCTTCCCATTGCTTCTCAGAAACTGACAGTCCAATCCTCACACGTCCTCTTACTGAAACAGATTGTTCTACTTCTTTCCTCATCATTGTTTTTCCGTGTTACCTTTTTGGGGGGACGTTTTTTCTTCCTACTTTCCATTTTCGCACCTCCTGATTATCATGGCAACATCTGGTAATGTGATTTGCATGCAGGGTTTTTTATAGTTAAAAAAAACCCGAGGTGCATTCAGTTTCTGAGAAACTTAATATCTCTACTTTGTTTCTTTAAGAAAAGAAAGAAAAGGGGCAAAACTTTTTAGCTTGCCTTCATTTGGTAACTTTAGTGAATCACTGTTATAGCTCCTAAAATCTTTGGAGACTATTAAGAAAACAGCTTCCCCTGAAAATTGCTGCCAATTCCTGATTTATTATTCCCTTTTTCTTTAAGGGTATTTGTGGTGGCACACTTGGTTCCTCCCATTGTATTGTGCAAACCAGCAAATGGTTCAAAATTAATTAAAGTGTGTGGTGAATTGTCAATTTGTAGCAATGAATTATTGTAATTAATTGTACATTATCTGAAAAAGACCTTCCTCCCTCATTCCCTCCCTCCCTCCCTTCCTTCCTCCCTCCCTTCCATCCATCCATCCATCCATTCATCTATCCATCCATCCATCCATCCATCCATCCATCCATCTCTTGGTATTTGCAATGAAAACAAAACATGAAAAAAAACAAAGATTTTTTTTTAAAAAAAACAATTAAACTGGTAACAATTGCAAGTTTTCTTTACCGGATGTGTTTTAAAGACCTACTTAAAAATTGATTTAAATGTTAATCTCCTTAACTCAGCAAGAAATTTATTCCATACTGGCTTCCAACTGTTCGACAATCAGTTCCACTGAGTGAACTGGGAACCCAGGAGAAACAAACCTATTGTCAGACTACCTTCCTTGCCATTCAGATCAGAAAGAGTTAAACCAAGCAATAAGGTCTCTGATTACTTGTATTTATTAATAAGAAGGTTAAGGTTGCAACACAAGAATCCCAGCAAGTGCCCTACCTTCAAATGAGACACGTTTATATAAGCAATTTATGGAGGCAAAACTCTCGTCTGTTTCCTCCCACGTTTTCTAAGAAGCGGGCTGGGAACTTGTCTCTTCTGGGAAGGAAGGCAGTCTACATCAGTTCACTGTTTTGATAACTGTTATTTCAATCAATGTGAATGGTAACTCTCCCACCAACATTTTCAATTTACTTTCTCCAGAGAATGCATAATTTCATAAACTTCTGTCTGTGGTAGACAGCTCTTGCTTCCTGGAGGTCTTCAAACCGAGGTTGGCTGGGCAGTGATTAGGTCTACTCCAATACTGGGTTTTCTGCATCAAGAAGGAGATTGATTAAATAGCTTTTCGGGATCCTTTCACTCTATATCTACTGTTAAAATATCATGAAGGAAAGGCAGAACCCAAGCTGAATAGGTAAAAGGGTAAAAAGCAAATTGCAGGATCCAATCTGAGTCAGTCCACAGGACCAACTCTTCTGAGCTTCTGGGCTTGGTCTGCAGCCCATCCTTGGGGAAATTCTATCTTATAAAGATGGCTTTTTTGTTTTATATCCAGTTATGATTTGTAAAAACTTTTTGGAAAATTGTTATTAGCCAGTTTTCCACTCTTCTCTGAACCACCCTATTTAAAGGTTCAAGGCATAGGAAAGGAGGGCCAGAACTGGAATGAGGGCACTTGTCCTGCAATTATACATCGATAAATATGGCAACTGTTCATTTAGAAAAAAAATGAACAGATTTTTCTCTGAAATGTGTGTTCTTGCAAGCAATTTTCCCCCCTTGCCTTCTGTAACTTGAAGCAGATGTGTGTAGGAGGCATTCTACTAAAAATGTTCATGCATTTTTCTGTCCTTTCTCCTTTTGGAGGTAGGCAAGAAACAAACAAGTCCATGGGCCAATGATCAAAATCTCAGGTAGGTCAACCCAATATTATGGATTTCAAGAAATTTAGTAGATTATTCACAGATCATCAAAAACATGAGACTACTTTCTGCAATTTAAATAGCTCAAGATGCTATCACTGCAGCACTGAACAATAGTAACAGAGTTTTGTGTGTGCTGCTTTGAAAGAGAATCCAACCAATTGATCAAACTTCCAAAAAAAGTTTGGGAACAGCCCTTGTTAATTGAAAAGTTGGCATTAATCTGGGACATAATACCATATTAGGGTGGTGAGAAATCAGTTCCCCTGATTTTTTAGTTGGCAACTGGATGAATCAAACTCTGTATGAAAAACAAGAAAAAGAACATGTTAATAAAAATTATCGTGAAAAATTCAGAAGCAAGAGAGTTGTGCTACTTCAACAAAGAACTTGCAAATATGTTCAATTCCAACCTTTGTTGGAGCAGACCATCTCCTTAAAGGGTAAACCTAGTGATTGATTGCATAGCAGATTTTGCAACACAGTAAAGATAAAGGTTTCCTTGTCAGTCATGCCCAACTCTAGGGCCTGGTATTCTATGGTATTCATTTCCGTTTCTTGGCCAAGAAAGTCAGCATTGTCCAAAGATGTTTCTGTGGTCATGTGGCTAGCATAACTATAAGGTGAGGCACATGGAATGCTGTTACCTCCCCACCAAAATGGTACCTATTTATCTACCCGCATTTGCATACTTTCAAACTGCTAGATGGGCAGGAGCGGGGACAAGTAATGGGAACTCACCCCATTGTGTGGGGCTCAGGTCTCAAACCCCAGGCTGTCAGCTCTCCAGCTGACAAGCTCAGTGTCTTTAACTATCATTCCCCATAACTTAATATTTTGATCTCAACACATTACTGGCTGATAAAAAGCCATTCTTGTAACTGTCAATGTTCACATTAATAATAGCCATGCAAATGTTCAACTCTATTATTAGTGTATTGCTTATAGCTCAACCTTCTATATTCATTTACTTTATAAAAGAAACAAGGAATTTCAGACCTTCCAGATGTTTCTGCATTTTCAACTCCTAACATCCTTCAACACTGGACATGCTGGCTAGAGATTGCTGGGGATGTCAGGTCAACTCCAACATTTGGAGCACTAAATGTTCCACACGGCTGCTTGAAAAACAACAATTTTGGGTCGATTGGTTGATAAATAATGCATTAGAACATCTTGTTTATTTTTTTTCTCAGCAGGACTGTATTCCTCCATCAGGAAGAACTGTGATAGATTATCTCTGAATATATATCATTACTGCAGCATCATACAAGTTGGTGAATGATGCCTAGGCTTTACACATGCTTTTAGGCAGTTAGGGAAAAGACACAACGTACAACCATTACTAACCCCAATTTTTCATTTCTAAATGCCCTAGGGAGATGTTGGATCCTGAAGATTCATTCAGGACTACAGCATATTAAAAAATATTTCACCAAAGGCAAATTCAGGAACAAAATAATAACTTTGTTATATATTTTGTTAAGGTAAAGTGCTTAGAATACAGGATAACAGAGTTGGAGGGAACATTAGAGTCATCTAGTCCAACCCTGTACTATTCTGGACAAGTGGATGCCAATCTCTTCTTAAATGTCTCCAGTGATAGAGCACCCACAACTTCTGAAGGTCAGCCATTCCACAGATTAATTGTTCTCACTGTTAGGGAATTTCTCTTAGTTCTGTGTTGGATCTCTCTTTAATGGGTTTCCAGCTGTTACTTCTTGTCTGTCCTTGGATGCTTTGGAGAAGTTGTTCCCCCTTTTCTCTCTGAGAGACCCTCCAATATTGGAAGGGTGCTCAGATTTGGATATTTCTTTTTTATGGCCATGCAGGTTTTTTTTAAAAAAAAACCAATAAGCAAATAACTTCAAAGCTGGATCCTGATGATTCTAGAAAGCTCCACATGATGTTCTTTTCACTGCCCTTGGAGGTGTTCCTGTTCCCAGATTTCTTTTCCTGAAGTGAGGGATTGTATGATATGAGCCTGTTGGAGTTGTTGATTTTTTTTGTCTTTTAATGATCCCTTGCATCAGGGTGGAGTCAGGGCAACTGAATGGAATGTTTACTGCCCAGATGCCCTTCCTGTTGCCAATGCAGAGTTCACAGCAGATATTGATTCATTGTGCCCAGAGAGAGAAATATCTGCTGCTACCTAGGATCGAACTCACAGCCTCCTGATTGTGAGGCAAGAGCTCCATCTCTAGGTCACTGCACCACTCTTGGAATTGATCTACATATAAATATATAGATCAGGAAGGTGAGTTGAGGGAAAGATAGAATGACTGATCAACCTACCTTAAGTATCCTTAACTCAGAGAAATTCTTGTGCTCAAATTGTCGTCAGTTGTCAGAGTTGTAGCCCTTTGAAGAGTAGAGTGATCCTCAGGAGCAGTTTTCTCAGGAATAGAAAGAAGACTAGAAAATGGGCAAGGTGAAGGGTCTCAGTCATCCTGTAATTTGGTCAAAGACCGTAAAAAAGGTTTAACTACTTAACCTATAAGTATGAGGCATTGCCAAGTAGAATGAGAATTCTACAGAGATTATTTACAGAGAAAGAAATATGCCTGAGATGCATCATGCTGACCTCAAGCTAAATATTACAATCCAGTTTGGAAAACACCAGAGTCATTCTCACATGAACAAATGACTGGAAGAACATTAAGCACAAATAATCCATAATTTCCACAAATAATCCATTTCTTCCACCTCATTCTGGAAACAAGGTGTAAATCCTGCATATAGGAGTTGGGGCAGGGTAGGTCATGGGGCAATTTCCATAATTTAATTTGTGCATATAAAGTTTTTCTTCAGAAACTCTGGAATGCTAGCTGTCTCAGAAGAGAGGAATAATTTGTGCTTGGCAGCATCACAATTCTGGTCCTAATTACTTTCTCACTGAAAGAATAAGGAAGAAGTCCAAACACAATTGAAATCTTTTTTTAAAAAATAATATTGTGTTAAAGATTAATAACCCTCCTGGACATAACAGAACAACAGCTTCCATTCCTGACATAATGCTCCAGAACGAGGAGTGAGTCAAGACAGGTTGTCATCAAAAGCTGAGGTGGTGATAAATTGGTTACTGTGGGAACACTGGAGTTGGTCCTTAAATTGGGTCAAACATTCTCTAAGCCATACACAGTCTATTTAGTTTAGGCACACTGCCTAGAGACCATCTGGCCTGAGGAAGTAGAGAAATTGTATTAATAAAATAAGTTCACAAATATGTGTGAATGGGACCTTCGGGGACAATGGCTCGTAGGTTATGTATCCTCTACCTCTTTTATCAGAACAAGAAAGTCGATTAGCTTTGTAAATCAGGTGGAGAAGCTGCTGCAAAACAAATAAATATAGGATGCGAGTTAGACACTGCAGAATTTTCAGCGACTTATCACACTGATCCTTGCAGCATTCTCAAAAGCATTTTTGATGAGGAGCATCAAGGTCTTTTCAAGTATGCATTTTTGCTACCTCTGCATCCTTCAAGGGTGTAACATTTGGTGATGCAGCTTTTGTTCTTTTTTTTTTGTTTTAAAAAGGGATGAATAGATAAGTGTGAAAAATAATGCAACCCCTTTACAGATGTTATATCTGTACACAACAAGAAAACCACAATGAATGTGATGTGAAGCCATACATGCCTTCTAGCAACACATAGGAACGCTTCTATGTTTAGTTCACACAGGCTCTCACATAAGCAACATGGCTTGAGTTGGCCTCCTCCTCCTCCTCTCTTTCCCTCCAGGAATCTGGTTTTCATAAGATCCTTTTTGAAAAGTGGTTTACTGTTCCAGCCAAAGGGGGGATTCAGCCAAAGTTTCATCTGTCCAAATCTCCTTGAAGCAGCATACCTGGGGGTAAGTTTGGAGAGGGTTGTTATCCCAATTATACCACCACCCAAAAAAGAGAGAAGTTTATGGCTTGCTTCAGGGAGATAATGAAATTTGCAGTGGTACTAAAAATTATGCAACACACGTACAGAAAGAGAGAGCAAAGTAGAAGGATTTGGGAAAAGACTGCATAGAATGAAGCATTGACTGAAACTGTTCATAGTTGTTAATGTTAGAATTATAAGACTAGCACATTAAAATTTCGGACAGGCACAAGAGGTCAGCAGACATAGAGTTTCTATTATCTCTCTGTTGCAATCTAAAGATTGTTTGGATGTTTGCAGCCAGGTAAGGCAGATCTATTTTAAAGAATGGAGACTGTATTCTTTTTATCTTGAAGACTTTGCATTTTAAATAAAAATATTTTTTTGCCTGTTTTGACATATTTCCCCCCCAGTGATTGCTTAAGTAGTGATTCTCAAGTTTTGTTTTGACTGGAATATTAGGCAGGTGATTCTTAGAAGGTGAAGCTCTGCCCTATTGTTTCTTTTATATATTTTTTATTTTTCTTATATGTATCCATGTATTCATAACTATGTTTTTACTTATACCTATTATCTTGTAAGCAATTGACAAATAAATAAATTAAAAAATCAGAAGTCCCATTTGCCTATGTAATTCCTTCAGTGCAAATGTATCTGACACTTTGAATTTTCCAAAGAAGAGACTTATAAGATGAATATATAAAATGGAAACAGTGGCCTGAAAAATCTCTCCCTCTCTCTCTCCCCCCCCCTCTGTTTTTCTACTCCCTATTTCTCTATCTCTCATTTTTCTATCCTCCTCCTCCTTTTCTTCTTCTTTGCTATAACATACCTCTATCTCCCAAATCTCTATCTCCCATTTGGAGAGTCAGAACTCACAATCCTAATAAGAGAAACTGAAAACAGGGAAATTCAAAGCATAAACACATCATTTAAGAAAGAAAAATCCACCTTCCAGAGCAAAAGATGAAAAAGCTTTTGTTTTTATTCATTTAAAATTCAGGAAGAGAATGGTAACTTGGGAGAGTATATTTTAATTTCCTTTTCCATTTTTTAAATAAATCTTTTGCCCTTAAATAAATTACATAGATGGGCAACACTGCTCTGCGTATTGGAAATGGAAGGAAGGCCTGATGCAGGAATGACGTCTAAGTTCCTACCAGCTTCCCCATTGAGTTTCCTCATGGGAATCTGGCAGGGAGCATTTGGAAATTTTTCCTTCCCTTCCCTTCTTATCCGAAAATGCATCATTTCTCCCATTTTAAAGTCATGTCAACAAGAAATTTAGAAGTACATAAACAAGAACCTCATGATATATAGCTAAAATAAGGAAGATAAGTGGGTAAGATTGCAACTTTCAATAAGCCTTCCCAAATTTTCTCCTCAACAACCAGGGACATGAGAGTGAGGGATAAACTTGGTACTTTTCACCTTAGCACTTTTTCAACTATTTAACTTCCTTCACTTCTTTCCTAAAAATGGGATAGTTTTGAAATTGATCTATCAGCCCACAGTTGCCTCAATGCCTGCAGGCCTTCATATGCCTAGGATTCCTAAAACACAGTGTAAACAATTCAATAACACCTGGAAAAAAGGGCATACTGAGAAACTGACTGGGTTCACTCATTACGCTGGGCCATCATGTTTTGAATTGACAGAATATATTGTCTGAACTCAGCATGTAATGAAGATTTAATATGATATGATAAACAGGTCAGTTCTGAAATATGCTAAGCTCTTTGATGATAATAATGATGATTTAGGGGATTATTCCATTTTGATTTTTGCTGTTCTGTTTACTTTTAATTCTTTTTAAAAGACATTGATATGGGTGTAGGTGGAATAATTATTCAGATGGGGCATCTGTGAGGCAGGTAAAAAAAGGGAGTGATCATTACTGCATGATTTAATACCTCCTTTTAACAAGAAAAAAAGTCTCAGGGTTTCTACTGTGTGGTTGCAGGTGTCATCTTGACTTTTTAACAGCAGATGCTCCTTTTTAGTTGGGTACTTTTAAAGTCAGAAGTTTAGTGGTAGAACATCTTTGATGCCCATGGAAAATTTGGAGTTCTATTCTCAGAAACTACATCTGGAAAAAAAAAAAAGGAAACCTCCTGGGTTACTGTTGAGCCACAATCAGTTGGCATTGACAATGGACCCATTCAGGTTTTAGAGAAGGTGGGAAGCTGGATTTTCAGCAGCTGATCAAGGATGATGTATGTTAACATAGACCTGGTTAAGGTGGACCAGGGGACTGACACGGTGAAAGGCAGCTCTCTTTGCTGGAATTTATATCACAGCCATATGGACAGCCATAACCATTTGCATGACTGATGTCGGCAAATGACAACCATGGAAATTGCTGGGCTGTGAGTTAGATCACATGCTGCTCAAGAGACCGAGGTTATTTATAAGGTGGGGGAGGAGGGAGAGTCAGAAATGTGGCAGAAATGGAAAACTGGTGATTATCTTCAGGCCCATGACAATAGACATAATTCTTGATCAGCTGCCGAAGCTCCAGCACCACTGGAGCTAAAACCTGAATTGGGTTAAAAGGTGGTCAGTGTTGGGAGTCATCAACAATTATTTCCCAGGAGTGATACAGGGGAGGCCAAAGGACTTATGGGATATTAAATTGCTGCCCCCACAATCCAGTGCCGAATCAGAATAACGTTCCTGTCAAATTTAGAAGTGGCTCTGTTTAAACTGGCTTTTTGGAACTCTTGAAGACCGTCTTGAACAGTTGGCTCTTGAAATCTTCCTGGATTGATCAATATTCTACAATGCTTTTCCAGAATTTCGTGTTTTATCTTGCTTACTTGCAGAGTATACTGTAAAAACAAAATTCTGCAGCCAGTATAGTTGCAAGAAGAGACATCTGGATCTGCCCTAGTTCTTTCCATAAAGATTTTTGCCTTCTTGAAAAGCGACATATTGGGGACATTGCTTAAGCACAGAAATGGGTTTACTATTTTTGGCATGGTTGTTACATTTTAAAGCTGGCAGTTTTCATGCTACTTCTATCATAAATAAGTATATTTTTCCAAATGTTTACTTGGTATACCAGTTTAAACACAACAGACCAACTGGTCTGCTTTGGCACCTGGAGCCAGGCTGTTTTCATCCATTTCCACTTTTGTGATGCTCCAAACATTTCACATAACCCTCAATTATTGGATTGGAGACAAGTTGGAGAATTAGTTAAATGCATGATTTATATATCAGCACCTGCTTGGTTTTTAGCTGTCGAGGTTTCCGATCAAGTTTGTTTCCATAGTCAGGCAGTATAATATCAATAGAAATTTCCCCAAAGGTTCTAATCTATAGCAATAGCTATAGACTTATATACAACTTCATAGGGTGTTACAATTCTCTCTAAGCAGTTTACAGAGTTAGTCTATTGCCCCCAACAATCTGGGTCCTCATTTTACTGACCTTGAAAGGATGGAAGGCTGAGTCAACCTTGAGCCAGTGAGAATCGAACTGCTGGCAGTCAGCAGCAGTCAGAAGAATTAGCCTGCAATAGTGTCTTCTAACCATCGCACCACCACGGCTCTTATTCTATATGCTCCCCCAAATTCCTGCTATTAGTACCGATAATTTTCTTGTTGCACTTGCTGTCATCTATGACTTTTCTGAAGGTTCCTCTTCTTCAGAGAATTTCCCTGGATTAGATTGCTGATTTAATTCCCTAGATTAGATAGTTTGAGGTTTCTCCTGGAAGCACTGATGTATTAAAAGATATTCCCTTAGCTGGGCACCCCTTTGATTTCCCCTCTTAGAATACAAGGGAAGAGCTGCCAAAAGGTAGAACTTCAGTAGAGAAGCAAGCAAAAGATTGTCAGACCGAGAGCAAGAATTCTTTAGAGTAATATACTACTCACAAGTACAAACACTCCAAAAAAATCTCAAATAGCCTACCAGCTATACCTGGATGGATCTTGGTGAACCTGATGATAAAGTGTCTGGAAGCTAGACACCATATAATGGATGATTGAGGGAAATAGTTATGTCTAGGCAACTGAAGAGAAGGTCTATGAGCGATATGAGTGCAGTCTTCCAACCTAGAACTAAGAAGAACTTTCCTGATTGTGAGAACAATTAATTAATGGCTCACTTCCAGAAGTCATAGCTGCTCCATCACTGAAGGTTTGCAACAAGAGACCGGGCAGCCATTTGTCCAGAATGGTTTAGAATCTCTTGCTTGAACAGGGGGTGAACTAGAAGACCTCCAATGTCCCTTTGAACAATTATTCTATGTTCTAATTCATTTCAAAATCCTTTGATGTCAAAAGGTTTCACATAAGCCTGTTTATTGTTCTTCTCTAATCAGTTAAGTCAGTTTTGCAGTGAGTTTTTTATTGGTTTGGTTCTGTTCATTAACAATGGTCAGGACAGCATAAAGCCAACCATATTTTAGCCTAGCATAAGTAGCCTTTATTTTTAATTTCATTTCATTGAGCCAGCTCTGAAAGGTATAGGGAACTATTCCAAGATTTTCCCGGTGTTGAGTTGGAAATTGTCATTCTTGAATATTGACTAAGATGATTTGGATGGATCATCCCATGTTCAAAACAGTTTTAGTCAATGTGTTGACTATAAGGATAAGCATGGATAACATTAAAAAAGTAATTACTGAAACTACAACAACAGGTCAAAAATAGTAACAATTTCTGGTGGAAGATTAAGGCAACCACTTTTTCTGCAGGTAAAATGGGGAAACATGAAAACAAAAGGCAAAAGAGAGAAGAAACATGTTAAATATGCTGACTAGTAAGTGCAGGTAGTTCTCAACGTATGCCTAAAATTTCTGTTGCTAAGCGAGTCAATTATTAAGTGAGCTTTGCTCCATTTTACAACTTTTCCTGCTGCAGTTGTTAAGCGAATCTCTCCAGTTGTTAATTTAGTAACGTGATTGTTAAGTGAATCTGGCCTCCCCATTGACTTTGCTTGTCGGAAGGTTGCAAAAGGTGATCCCAGGACCCTGGGACACTGCAACCATCATAAATACATACCAGTTGCCAAGTGCCCAGATTTTAATCACATGACCATGGGATGCTGCAACAGTCATGTGAAGAAAGTCATTAGTCACTTTTTTAAAAAAAATACTGTTGTAACTTTGAATGGTCACTGAATAAAGAGTTGAAAGTCAAGTCAAGAACTACCCATATAAAACTGAATTCAGAAATCATGCCTATTTTTTTAAAGAGAAATATATCTCATAAAAATAGTGAAATAGTATCTGTCCAAGGATGAATGGGGATGCTCCTCTTTAAATCTCTCCTTTTTCTTTAGCATTTTGTCTTTTAACCGTAGAGTTTAAAATATCAGAATTTGTAAGGTTTGGTGTATTTGAAACCAGTAGCCCATTCTGGCTTTTGTAGTGTGATGATTAAGCAAACCATGGAAAAGTGTTAGGAATACATTTATTCTATTGTGTGCAGAGGCCTAAGGCCCAGCTCAAACCAAGTTTAGAAGATGCTGTTTTTTCTCTCTTTTGTCTACATAGGTAGTCTGTTTCTTACATTACCCCTATAATATTTACGATGTTCTAGATATTCTAGCCCAAATCAAGGAATGGATCTGCCATAAAGATTTGGTCCAGATTCTCTTCAAAGAGCAGATGCTTTCAAAAGGAGAAGATGCATGGCCACATAAAATTTATGAATTATAGGATCTCTCTGTAAACATGTTGGATTAGAATTAAGAATTTGCTATAGGAATTTCATGTGCTCAAGTGCTGCCTGTTCAGCTAGCCACATATTATTTATGACTATGTGAATCTATTATCTCAGTAATCCTTCTAATAATGGTACAATGTAGACTCAGCATTGTTATTCTAGCATTAGGCTCTTCCAGACATCATACTGAAGGGAGTTTGAGCAGCTTCCAAACATTATGATTTAAGCTAACTTTGAAAAGAAAGCTTTCTGGCAGGCTATTGTAGCTTTTGCCTTGTTCTCTAGTCCTTAGGTAATATATTTTACAGATGGACCGATCCAATCCAAGCAGAAATCTTGGTATGATTGTGAAGGTTGCATCTCCTGGAAAACTCAAAATGCATCTAGAATAAAGGATCTGGCCTCCATGTTTAGACTGATGTTTTTAGCAGACACATTTTTGCATTTGTTCCCCCCCCCCCCCTGGTTACTTATTATCCCCATATGACAATAGGAATTGAGATTGAGAGAAACTGCTGTGCCCAGTTATGTGCTCCCTAACTGGACACAGTTCCCTAGATGTTTTTGTTGACAACGCCTGTGATTTTGATCATTTAGCTATGTGCTCTGGTACTGAGGACACTTGGCATGTAACACGTTCATAGGATGCCAAGCTGTCAGTCGAGATTTTATTAGCATAGAACTGTTACAGAGGTGGTATTCAGCAGGTTCCGATAGCGGAAATTATGAGTAGTTCAGAGAACTGGCAGTAACTTTCTCCCAGGAGTGGGTTGGGAATTGAGATTTTACAGTATCCTTCCCCTGCCGGGCCCAACAAGCCACTCACAGAATTCATAGTAAAAAAATTTGAATCCCACCACTGAATTGTTACTGATAAAATTTCTTCCCATATGATATGTGAGGCACACTAGCCATGACTATGTCAAAGATGGTTTTGAATCTACTCAATTAACAGATTCTGCAACTGAGCCAATGCATTTCAGCAGAGTTGGTCAACAATCTTACTGTATAGAAGTAATCTGATTTGCATGAGAATAGTGGCTGAAGCTGAAGGATTGATTGATTGGTTGATTGATTGAAGATTGGTCATAGAAATCAAAAGAGTGGATTCTGCCAAACTAATTTTTCCAATTTTTCCAATATTTTTTAATAACTTCTTCCCTTGTTTGTTCTTGCTAACAAGAAACCTCAAGAGGAAAGACTAGATGACTTGCAAATTGAAATTAGACAGAAGTTTACATTCCATAAGACTGGGTTGCATGTGGCCTTAATGCTGAAGGCTGCCCACTCTGAGTGAAAACAATCAGGAGTTGACTCACCCTAACTGAATCCCATGGGCAGAAGAAATTTTTTGAAGATCATCAAATGAATGAAGATCTGCAATGAACATCTTCAGTGAAGAACTTCCATGTATTTTGGTACAAGAAAATAGAATTCAGTCCAAATAATCTGTCAGAAGTCTTTGTCAAATCTGTGAGAAGAGAATGTGACTGAATGACTTCTCTGGTTTTTCCAGAGGGACTGTGGGGAGCAACAGACAGAAACTTATCAAAAAGAGATCCAACCTAGAGCTAATGATAAATTTCCTGACAATGAAAACAATTAACCAGTGGAACGTCTGCCTTCAGAAGGTGTCAGTGCTCCATCACTGGAAGTTTTAAGAAAAGATTAGACATATTTATCCAGAATGATTTAGGGTATCCTGCTTGGGGGACGGCATTGGATTAAATAACCTCCAAAGTCCTTCCAACTCTATTATTCTGTTAAATAATTCTCCAATAATTTCATAAGCCAACAAAATTGCTGTGGAAAACAAACATCAGATTTTTTTTTTCTGATACTGTTTCTTAAATTTTAATTACATTGTGGGAAGCCATGGGGGCTGAAGGCCACTGGAGAACATATTATATATGGACATAAGATAGGACAATAGCTCATCAGAAGATTAGATTCCACCAGTGGAATTTCTTCACTGGCTTCTGCTCCTTTGAATACATTCTCTTTTCTCAAACTGAACTGGTAGAAAAATAAAATAAAAGCAGGATAAGTTTTATATCAGGCATTTACAAAATATCCTTCTCTAGCTTCTTATGTGAGCTTATAATACTTTGTAATTTCATCTGGTACTTTAGTTTCTATTTCATTCACCTTGGCTTGATCTTCTCAGATTTCTCATGCCTTTGGAAGCCATGCAAGTTAACTGAGAAATCTGGAGAATGATCATCTTAACAAGGCAGTATTTTGTAATAATACTGAATTGACAAAGCCCTGACTTTTGGCACATGTTCTCGATAATCTCCATTCTATAACAGAATAACAGAGTTGGAAGGGACTTTGGAGGCCTTCTAGTCCACCCACCCTACTCAAACAGGATACCCTAACCACTCCAGACAAATGGTTGTCCAGTCCCTTAAAACATTCAGTGATGGAGCATCTAGAATTTCTGAAGGCAAGCTGTTCCACTGGTTAGGAAATTTCATGTTTAGGAAATTTCTCCTTAGTTCTAACTTGTTCACTTGTTGATTAGTTTCCATCTGTGGTTTCTTATCTTGCCTTCTGATGCTTTGGAAAATAGGTTGACCCCCTCTTCTTTGTGGTAACCCCTCAAATATTGAAACACTGCTATCGTGTCACTCCTAGTTCTTCTTTTCACTAGAGTAGAGATATCTAATTCCTGCAACTGTTCTTCACATGTTTTAGCCTCCAATCCCCCTAACCATCTTTATTTGTTCTTTCCAGAGTCTCAGCATCTTTTTTTTCTAATGTGGTGACTAAAACTGGACACGGTAGTCCAAATGTGGTCTTAGTAGTAAGTCTATAAAGCAGTACTAGTATTTCACACGATCTTTTACTATTATACTCTTTATTTAAATTCTTTCATTTGTGGTGTGGGTGGGACAGCTGGGCTGATAATGCAAGGAGTTTTTCTACTCTCTTTATGCCTTGCGTGTTGATTCTGTTTCACTGGTGGATGAAGTGACAATGTGGGACTCAGAGGACAATCTGTTTTCCCTGATGGAATGGAGATTCTTGTTTTTTTTGTGAGAGTTCCTCCTCCTCCTTCTGAAATACTCACTCTTGATGGATTGAGTCAGAGAAATTGCTATGCTTCTCCAGATGCTCCTGCTTAGGGAATTGGTTGGACACCCAGCCCTCCCCAGCCACACACAACACTTTTCAACATCTGCTCAGATGGTGCTGAAGTTTTTCCCCAAGTTAGGATTGGAGAGCTATTCTTTAGATTAAGGAACGTGTCAGAAATAAAAAAAAGATACAGTTGAATCCATTCTTCTAATGGCTGACATGAAAGCCAGAATGGGAAGTTAATTTCTGGCTTTTTTTGACACAGTTCACTCAACTTTCATTTTCCTAACCAATTCATCAGCTCCCAAATAGATTGTTGTTACTGTTTTTATTTTCACCCAACCAAACACAGAAGAGATAATGTTGCGGATAATTGTTTTTAATCATAATTCCTTGGTATTGGATGGCCAAAGATGGTATATGTTAAGTTTGAGCAATGAGAGGCTGAACCAGAGCATGAGTGCAACAATACTTTATTTTACAATAAAGGGCTGACCGTGCTTGCCACGCCTGGAACTGGCTCGCAGCAATCAGCGACTGGTTGGACCCCGCAGCCCGCTTTTATAGCTGGCTGCTGGAGAGAACCAACCAATGGGAATGGGGGAATAACGCCCACACAAAGTGAGTGGACCTGAGTGAGAACTCCTAGAGTTCTCAGGACATAACAGTATAATTAGAATACAGGCATCACCAAAAGGAGTGAATCAGAATGCTCAGCCTTTATTTCATTGGGATATTTTCTCTGGAGCGTAAATGGATATTCTAAGTCTGTCAGAAGATTAACATCCCTTTCATTGTATCTGCAATTTGCGCAAGGTTTAGTTAAAAGGTTAAGTCAGTTTAATTTACAAAAACCACGCAATTTCTGAAGTCTTCTGATTTTGTGCAAATCAATTGCCAGTCCTACGAAAGACTTTTCTTTCCTGGGACTGGCAACTGATTGGCACAAAATCAAAAGACTTCAAAAACTAAACTTTTTATAAACTAAACTAACTACACCTTTTGTCCATCTCACTTATAATTTTTCAAAATATAGTTTTAATTAAACTTACCTCACATTTGACTTATAGGACACAAGCTATAGTGGACAAAAGAAAGAGACAAAGGGCTAGAACAAATAACTTTCTAATTCAAACTTTTTAATGTCTGGTAAGGCCCATTTTCCTAAACCCTCCCCAAAGGTATTCCAGGAAACCAGCAATATTTTTTCTTCTTTTAAAGTATGTCAAACCTTGCCAGTCAATTCTGGCAGTAACTATTTCAGCAGTGTATTAAGGAGAGGGCCTTCTGCCTTTTGCCCTATAAACTGCCACCTCCATTTGAAAAAAAACATGGACTTGTTTGATCTGTTGTCTGAAGATGTCTCCATGTTTTTACAAGATAGTTTTCTTTTTTGCCTGAAAGCCAGCACATATTTTCATGCTGCCACTCTTCTACCGAGGAATCATTGAGTCTGTCATCTGCACTTCTATAACTGTCTGGTTCGGTTCTGCAACCCAACAGGACAGACACAAACTTCAGAGAATAATTAGGGCTGCAGAAAAAACAGTTACTACCAACCTGCCTTCCATTAAGGACCTGTATACTGTGCTGGTCAAAAAGAGGGTTGTGAAAATATCTACAGATCCCTCACATCCTGGACATAAATTGTTCCAACTTCTACCCTAAAAACAATGCTATAGGCACTGCATACCAGAACAGCTAAACACAAGGACAGTTTTCCCCCCATGCCATCCCTCTGCTAAACAACTAATTCCCACAACACTGTCAAACTACTTAGTAAGACTGTATTACTATTATTCTTCTCATCCTTCCTATTACCTATCTCTTCCCACTTATGACTATAACTGTGTTGCTTGTATCTTTACAATTTATATTGTTTTATTTGTTTCCTAGTATGATTTGATTGCTTACTATGACTATCACTAAGAGTTATATCTTATGATTCTTGATGAATCAATTTTATTTTTTCTTTTATGTACATTGAGAGCACATGCACCAAAGACAAATTCCTTGTGTGTCCAATCACACTTGGCCAATAAAGAATTCTATTCTATTCTATTCTATTCTATTCTATTCTATTCTATTCTAT